TATAATTTGACTTCAGACACCTACAAACTGTGTGGCTGTGGGCTAATCACAAGTTTTGTGAGTCTTAGTTTCCTCAGCTATAAAATGAGAATAATAATATAATAATAATATTTGTTATTAACCACTGAAAAGATTGTTGTAAGGAGCAAATGAAATGATACGGGAAAAGTGCTTTCAAAATCATCTTAAAATGCTAGATAAACATTATTATTATTATTATTATTATTAGTAGTAGTAGTAGTAGTAGTAATAGTAGTAGTAGTAGTAGCAGCAGCAGTAGTAGTAGTAGCAGCAAAGTTCTGCTATCCATAGCATAGAGGGAGAATGCCAGAAAGGGTATTTAGAGGGGCCAGGGAGTGGGAGGAGGCCTCCATACAGTGAATCACAGTGGATGTAGACTAGTCATTATCTAAAGTCCTTTGCACATAGTAGGTCCTTAATTAAAGCTTGTTGATTGATTGAGTTGGTGAGCAGAGAGGCTGTCACTTGGAGTGTGGAGAGCATTTGGTCAGAGTTGGAGGAGGGGGATTTCTGGGAAAGACTGAGAGGCTAGGAGCTGTGGAAGGTGGCACTACCCACAGTGCTGGTTTTGTGTTTCATAGGATCATACTCTGACTTCACAAAGTTGTTGGGAGATTTGTTGTAAACCATAAACCACTTACGTAAACTTTAGAGAATGTTACTATTATGGTTATTATTCTTATTCTCATAAAGTTAGGCAAGGAAAGCCTCCAGCATGTTGGATGGACTCCCTGGGACACAGGAGAGAACCCAGATAAGAGTTGGATAGGATAGGTAGGCATGGATGGGTTGCTATCTCTACAGGGAACATCCATGAAGATGAGAATACAGAGCCATGTGAGGAAGAGAAAGAGGGGTACAGTGGGAAAAACACTGGTTCTAGAATCTGAAAACAGAGGTTCAAATCTTGCATCTGAGGCTTCCTGCCTTTGTGACTTTGGGAGAGGTATGCAGCCTCCTTGGGCTTCATCATATGTAAAATGGGGGAGGGTTGGACTAGATAGCCCATGAGATCCCTTCTAGTCTTAGATCTAAGACCCAATGAGTATTACTATTATCATTAACATAGAGAATAGACAGAGAACTGCCCTCCACATCAGGACATTTAGGTTTAAGTTCTGCTTCAGATAAATATTGGGCATGCATTGGGGCAGCTAGGTGGGCCTGGAGTCAGGAAGAACTAGTTAAAATCCAGCTTCAGTCACTTAACCTCTGTTTGCCTTAATTCACTAGAGAAGGAAACAATAAACCACTCCGGTATCTTTACCAAGAAAACCCCATGGATAGTGTGGTCTACGGGGTCAAGAAGAGTCAGACATGACTAAACAACAACAAAGACTTTCTGCAAATGGCTCCCGCCATTACCAATGGTATTCCTCCAAGTGTAGGAAACTGGTGGGTTCCCTGTACCCCATTATCACAAGGATTTAGATAGGAAGGAGAACCAGGATTCTCACTAACCACAAATCCTGTCCCTGGCCACTGCATCACACTGCCCTACAGCTCTTCATTATGACTCTTGGCTCAGTAGAATGGTGTGATATGAGAAGACACTTCCACTCGGTCCTTTGGTGAGGGGTGTGTATGTGTTTGAGAGGAGTTCATTGATATTGAACACTGCCTGTATTTTTGTATTTTTAAAAAGAAATGTATTAATCAGTTTTGCTGATTTTTTTCTTTTCATCTTTTAAAAATTCTTTGTTCTATGGGATGGATCTCTGGGAGGGGAGAGGGGAAGAATAGGGAAGAAGAGGGGAAAATTTAGGTGGTTGTAAAAATAAAATGTATCAATATATTTTTACAAAGTTGTTCTAGGTTGTATTAGGAGAAGCGAAATATCCAGAATAAGAGAGGTGATAATCTAGCTGCCTTCATCCTGGTGAGATCACATCTGGACTATTTATTATACGCAATTCTAGGTACCACATTTTAGAAAGGTCCTTGACAAATTGCACAGAGTCCAGAGGAGGGTGTCCAGGATTGTGAAGGCACTAGAGAGTGTGCTTTATGAAGACTGGTTGAAAGTACTGGGGATATTTTGCCTCAAGAGAAATTTAAAAAAAATATGTGTGGGGGGAAGAGTTTTGGCAATGATAGCTTGTCTTCAAATGTTTGGTCAAGTGTAAAGTGCTATGCTAACCTTCAAGTACTGTATAATTGCTAGCTATTATTATTGCTATTATTAAGATCTGTCATGTGGAAGAGAGATCTGGCTCATTCTGTTTACTCTTCCCCCTCCCTCTACCCCAACAAGAACCAGAGCATGCAAGTTGTAAAGCAATAGAGAGAGCTTTGGGATAGTAGAATAAGCTGCTTCAGGAGGCAGTGGGTTCCCCTTATCACAAATAAAAGTTGAACGACTACTTACCACGGATATGTAGAGGGTTTTCTTGTTCAGGTCCCAGATAGATTAGCTGTCCTATGAGATTCCTTCCAACTCTGAAATTTTGAAATTCGATTATTCCAGTAGCAGGATGCCTGCCACCTTCCATGAGTACTGCACACCTTAGGGGCAAGTCACATAACCTCAGTTTCCTCTTGCGTAAAGTGAAGGGAGGAAGGGGTTGGTTGGACGAGGTGATCGCAAAGACTCTTTCTAACCCTAATTATTTATAGTTCATGTCTCCCCTCACAAGTCTCTGTCCTCCTTTCCTCCCACCCCATTGTATACAAATTGACAAAGGGTTTTTTCAATGGGGGATACTAATAGCACCCACCTCCCAGGGTTGTTGTGAGAATCAAATGAGATAATATTTTTAAAATGTTTAGTACAGTGCCTGGCACATAGTAAACTCTATATAAATGTTAATCATCATGCTCATCATTGCTATTACTCTACGAACTCCTAGCATCGAGCTGAACCAGGCAGGGCAGGACACTAGCTAGAAGAGGGGAAATCAAGTAAAGATTGAAAACCCAGAAGGATTGCCCTACTATGTTAGAGCTGACCTCCATCTCAGCCTGCTGGCTTGTCCCAGGAATCAGGGTGCATATGATGGGGGCAGGTCCCAAGCCAAGATCTTCGCCCTTTGCCCGAAAGGGAATCTGACTCACAGGCCCCAGACCCTCATCTCCCTTTGAAAGCTTTAGCCTTACCTTTTAATCTTATTCAGATGCACCCTAAAAGAATCTGGCTCCCTTTTGTCTATAGGCCCCAGAAAGGCCTTCTCTGGTCTCAGACTGTTCCTTATCGACTCCCCTTATCTCCTTTTGAAAGTCCTAGCCCGGCCTTGATTTTGTGCAGGTGCCTTTCAAACTTCTGCCTTCCAGTTCTCTCCATTAGCTATTCCCGTTGTCTATTCAATCTCTCAGACCTCCCCAATTAGAATTCTTCCCTAGACCCTTTTCCCAACCCCCTTCTCTGGCCACCCAAAGTTACTTTAGTATTTAAGATCCACCTTGGCCCTCATTCAGATTCTGAGAACCTCAGGCCCACAAGGCTGAGAACTTCTCATGCCGCTCGTCTTTACGGGTGTCACCCGGCTGAGAATCTTTAGTGCCTCAAAGGCTGAGCCTTTCTCATGCCCGCCTGTCCTTACAGGCGTCACCTGCCCTCTGTGATTTATCACTAATAAACTTTTCCTCTGGCTGAAGAAGATTTGAGTTGAATTCATTCAGCAGGGCCTGGTACCATGATCTTGGGGATTTTGCAGCACCCCAAAAGTCCTAGACCTCTTCACAAGGAGAGGATGTTTTTCCTTCTTTATGAGAGCCAGGGCAGGTGGTAACTGTAAGATATTCTCTACCCCTAGTACCCCCAGCTCTTCCTCTTCCCAATCTGCCATGACCCAATCCACCTGACACCTCATTAAATTTCATCAAGTAACATTGGAGGCAAGGGCTGCACCATATTCTTTAATTAACACCCTAGTTTCCTCACTTGAAAATTTCATTTTGGTCTGGGGCTTTAAAAAACCTATCATTTCACTCAAGGTCCCAAGAACAAGAGCCCCCATCGCTATAGGAAAAAAAAAAAGCAAAAACAGATTTCCCGCCTGCACCCTCTCCGCCCCCAAATGATTTAAAATGTCTAAGTCTCTTCATTCCTAAAAATGAAACAGCATTTGGGTGTTTTATTGGCCTGTCCCTCTCCTTCTTGCTGTTCCACATTTGTGAGGTCTGTAATTCATTATCAGTGGATTTGCATATGCTTTTACTACCGGCATAGGTCACTCCCAGAACACTGTGCCACTGACAGGTTTATAATTCTGCAGACACAGGCTGGCAGATAGACATGTCTCCCCCACAGAATGGGAGTGTAAATTTTACTGAGTAAATAGAACCAAGCTGTTTAGTATAATCATCAGAGGAGATAGATGCAGCCAGCAGGCAAGGGATATCTTTTCTGTCCCTGTGCCAGAGAGTTCCTTCCTCTACCTGAGTGTGTGTGTGTGTGTGTGTGTGTGTGTGTGTGTGTGTGTGTGTGTGTGTGTGTGTGTGTGTAGGGGGGTTGATTGAGTGGTTTAGAACAAAGCCGTCCTTCAGAACCCACTGAATCAGGTTTGGCCCCACCTTACTCTACTTCTCTACCTGGCTTTCTTGAAGGGAGGAGCTGAATTTTGCTTGTGAAGGGGACTGGGTTTTATGGATGCTTTCCCTTCTCAGGGGAAGCTTCCTGGAGGAACTGGGCTTTAAATTTAAGGAATGATTGTTCTAGGCACAGGGACTGATGGGGCAAAGTCACAGATACCTAGTGAGTCTCTGAAGAGACTTTTTAAGGTGGGGTGAACAAAGGTGTAGAGAGGAAGGATTCATGGAGCTAGAGAATATTAGAGATAAAAGGGACTTTAGAGAACACCAAGTCCAAGGGTAAGTGACTTCCCCAAAGGCACATGGCTGTTAAGTGATCGTAAGGATTTAAAAGCAGTTCTCTTGCCTCCAAACCCAGGACACTTCCCACTACATTCTGTATTTCTTACAACTAGAATGGGCTGCTTGCCACCTCATTCTATTCACTCTCTGTTCTCTCTCCAAACTAGGACTCCACCAAGCACATGATTGACAGCTCCACAAACCGGACAGCTGCTCTATTCCCAGCGAGGGAAGGAAGACAGCTTCAGCTTTCCTGTGCTGCACTTTGGTTCCTTCAGCCGAAAGGCCTGGGCCAAGGAGCAGGTCTGTGCCAACAGCCCACTCCGATATCATGGCAATTGCCAATAGCTCCTTGCAACTGTCATCAACCAAACCGGTTAGGAAGTGAAAAATTCAGCAACCAACCTGTTTTTTTCCCTCTGCCCCACTATGATAAGGCCCTAACAGCTAGGCTGGCTATTTTTCACTAGGTGAACCAGTTGTTTGGAGAATGTTTGGGTCCAGTTAAAAAGGTGGTGCCATGGTTCTTGTTTGCCTAGATTTCGTGTCTCAAGGATGCTAGGACAGGAGTGAGGTCCAGGAAACAACTGAGGAAGAGAAAGGAGTGGGAAAGGAAGGGACAAGAGTGGGAAAGAAAGAGAAGGAAAAGGTGAATAACAATAAAAGCAAAAGTTGTAAAAGATAAAGCATAGTGCCTGTCACATAGTAAGCACTTAATAATGCTAGTTCACTAAAAAGAGAAGAAAGAAGGGAGGAGAGAGAAGGGGAAGAAGAGAAGAAAGGGAAAGACAGAGACAGAAAAAGGCAATAACAATTCACATTTATATAGCTCCTTAAGGTAACAATAAAAATAATGTCAAGAAAGATGAGCAAAGAAACTATATTATCCTATAGATAATGAAACGACATCAATATTAAATAGATGTGCTCTAAATGCGTAAGGTTTAAGTAAATAAAGGAAAAGCTAATTAAAATGAAAAAAGACTTTGACAATAAGGCAACAATTGTAGGTGATATTAACATTTCTTTTTCAGAACTGGATGAATTAGAAAGATAAACAAGAAGAATAGATATGAAATAGTGTTGAAAAAACTAGATTTGATAAACCCATGGTGATTATTGGATGGGGATAATAAAGAGTATGCTTTTTTTCATGGTACCTTTATGAAATTGATCATGTTCTAGGACATAAAGAACTCAAAAGAAGAAAAGGAGAGTAAATAGTGCCTACATTTTGTAGCAGTCCCCAAAGCTCTCCATTTTCCTGGCCTTTGCTTGAAAAATCCTTTGCCACCTTGGGCCTCATCAGAGGCTAGTGTCATTGCTACCTCAGTCTAGAGAAACAAGGTAGTTGACTGAGTGCTCAGATATGGCTTGGTCAACACAAGTCACATCTGCAAACAAACAGGAAAAGAGAGCCACCTTTGGCAGGACAGATAAAGCAGGTCTCTTAATGAAGAAGTTTCAAGTGAAGGCCAGGAAAATGGGGAGATTTAGGACTGGTACATGTTGTAGGAATGATTTACTCAACTACTACCAAACTCCCACTCCTTGGATGGCTTTACCTAAATGAATGGGCAGAGGGTATGTCACTTGAATCCAACCCTCTGGCTAAAGCTGGGTTCTTAGAATGCCACTGTTTTTTTTACTTTAGCTATAAGAGAGCTTCTCTGTTCTAGATGCTTTTGTGCTGGGATTTCCCCAAATTAAGGTAGGATTTAGGCAGTATGGTATAGTGGAGAGTGCTGGATTGGAGTGAGGAGAGACCTAGGTTTTAATCCAACATCTGAGATTTACCTTCCCTTAGACTGTGGGTAAGTCACTCAATGTCTCTGAGCATCAGCTACCTAGTCTATGAAACAGGAATAATAATAATGCCTGGAGCATCTACTTCCCAGGGTCGTTGTGAGACTCAAATGAGAGAATCCACGTAAAGGCCTACATAAAAGAGCTGTATAAATATCTGCCAACATTCTTAAAGAAACTGTATATGGAGTGGAATGGCTAGAGAGGCAGGAGTCCAAGGTTCTAATCTCTGCTCTACCCTTAATGAGTGGTAAAGGTGTAGACAAGTCCTTTCCTCCTTTTGGGCCTCACATTCTAAGGAAACATACATTTGTCAAGTGACTAACATGTGCCAGGGACAGGTAGGTGGTGCCAGGCCTAGAGTCTGGAAGACTCATCTTCCTGAGTTCAAATCAGGCCTCATACACTTAACCCTGTTTACTTCAGTTTCCTCATCTTGACACTCCAATGTCTTTGCCAAGAAAACTGCTAATGGGGTCATGAAGAATTGAACATGATTGAAATGACTGAACAACAACAACATAGGATCTCATTTAATACTCACAACAACTTGGGAGGTAAGTGCTCTTATCATCCCTGCTCTGCAGATAAGGAACATGAGGAAAATAGAGGTTAAGTGACTTGCCCAGGATCACACAGTAAGTGTCTGAAGCCAGATTTGAACTTGGGTCTTCCTGATTCCAGGCCCAGCAAACTATAGACTATGCTTCCAGCTCTCTCTTTCTTCATTAGTAAAATGAGAGATGAGATGTTCTCTAAGAGAAGACAGATCAAAGTTTCCCTTTGGAAGTCATTATATTTAATGTAGGGGGGCCAGTGACCTTTTTTGGGGATATTTTTAGCTTGAAGGAGTTACAATCCCAATTTCTCTTATATTCAGTGTATTTTGCATATGCAATTTCTTAGTGGAAGGGTTTTTTTCCTGTCTTTGTTATAGACTTGAATGAAATCATTCGATGTCTATGACCACAAGATAGAGGTTTTTTGTTCCCACTGAGAACATATTGGAAACACTTACATTTTAGTAGGGGCTTTCAGTGCTTTACTCCAAAGGAAGAATACAGACTTCAGGTTCTGTGGCAGACCAGTTAGGGAAATATATTTGCACAGGAAGTCCTTTGATATGCCTTTGAGTCACACCATTTAAGTGACCACTTACCTTGCCTTTGCACAGGGCTGGGGAGTCTTTCCTGACTCTCTCCTGAGTCCCTCGAATATTGCCTGGGCTACTATTGCTTTTATTTCTCTCTATAATGCAGAAAGAGATGGCTGCTGGTGTTGCCTGAAGGAGGGAGGAAGGAGAATACAGAGGTGGGTCAGGGAAAAGTCCTTTTCTTCTCTTATTGGGGAACCTCTGTTTTCCTGCACAAAAGATGAATTGAACAGAGGAGTACCATCTTTGTCCTTTCCAATTAAAATCCAAATTATTCTTAATATTTTCAAAATAATTTTTTTGAGTACATGGAGTAGATTTTGTTACTTTTTGTCAGTTCAGATTTTTTCCCTCCCTTCTTCCTTTCCTCCTTCTCTTCTTTCTTCTCTCACTCCCTCCTTTCTTCTCTCCCTTCTGTAAATTAGGGCTCAAAGTCCATTTGTATGGGACACTGAACCTTGCAAGCTTGAAGAACAGAGTTGGTCAGGGCTTAGGAAAAGAGAGATCCTGGGTTTCTGTCTTCTAGAGAGAAAACATGTGATTCCAGGCTATCTTCAGGTCACTGAAAGGGGAGAAAGATTCTGGGAAGAAGCTGCCATGTAGAGGCACTGTCACCTTGATTCTGAACCTGTCTCCTTCTTGCTACTCTAGAAACTTTGGAGTATTTCCCACTGGATGTGACCTAGGACTCTCTATCTGTCTTTTGGTTGATCTCAGATACCTCATTCCTAGTGGAAGAGCTCTTTCACTCTGTTTAGTCTGGTATATTCTCATATGTATACCTTTTTTGATTTTTATTTTGATATTGACTTGAATAAATGGGCTTATCTGCTTCTAAGGAAGAAAAAAGCACATAAGGGCGAGGTGAGTTGCCTATGTCGGCTATGTGTATTTACATTGGCCTGTTTAGATATGGTTCACAGGAAAGCATGAATAAATGTCTCTAGGCTCCTCCACCCACCCCTCTCCAAGAGAGATTTTGATTCCTGACAGGAGGGAAGGCAGGAAATTGGTGCCTGAGGCTGGCCACTATTCTCTCCTTAGAGAGAAGGGTTATTGGATAGAATTATAATCTACTTGCCTCCCTTAATATTGTTAGTCTAAAGGAAAAAGTTTGCTTCTGATCACTATCTTTAATGGGGAAGACAGGCCCCAAGCTATATATCCAAGGCTTGACCCCCTTCCCACCCAATATCAGTTCCACAGAGAGCACACATAGCAAATAGCAAATTAACTCATTTGTTCGAGCTGATATAAAAACAAAAAAAAATCAGAGAAGGTATATCTACCTACCTACTTATCTATCTATCTATCTATCCATCTGTCTGTCTGTCTGTCTGTCTGTCTGACTGACTGTCTGTCTGTCTGTCTGTCTGTCTGTCTGTCTGTCTGTCTATCTATCTATCTATCTATCTATCTATCTATCTATCTATCTATCTGTCTGTCTGTCTTAATAAATCCCCTTAATAAAAGGATTTGTTCTGTGAAGTTTGGACTCAGTTAAAGGGCTGCACTTGAGGATCTAGAGGATCCACATGGCCTTGAGACTACAGGTTCCCCACCTCTGATCTAGGGATACCTTGCAGATATTGGGGGTTTGGTTCCAGACCACTGCAATAAAGCAAACATCACAATAAAGTGAGTCACAAATATTTTGGTTTCTCAGTGCATATAAAAGTTATGTTTGCGCTATACTGCAGTCTATTAAGCATGCAATAGAAATATGTCCAAAAATATACATAGTCCAATTAAAAATACTTTATCGCTAAACAATAGTAATCATCATCTTCAGTGAGTTGTAATCCTTTTGCTGGTGGAGGGTCTTGCCAGGATTGCTGCTGACTGATCAGGGTGGTGGTTGCTGAAGGTTGAGGTAACTGTGGAATTTGCTAAAATAAGACAGCAATGAACTTTGCCTCCTTGATTGAATTTTCCTTTCACTTGAACACTTAGAGACCATTGTAGGGTTATTAATTGGCACAATTTCAGTATTGTTGTATCTCAGGGAATAGGGAGGCCTGAGTAGAAGGGAAGAGATGGGAATGGCTGGTTGGTAGAGCACTTAGAACATGTGCAACATTTATTGATTAAGTTCACCATCTTATATGGGCATGGTTCGTAGCACCCCAAAACAATTGCAATAGTAACATCCAAGATCACTAATCACAGATCACCATAACAGATATAATAATAATAATAATGAAAAAGTTTGAAATATTGCAAAATCACCAAAATGTAACACAGAGACACTATATAAACATAAGCTATTGGAAAAATGGTGCCGACAGACTTACTTGATGCAAGATTGCCACAAACCTTCAATTTTGTATAAAAAAAATGCAGTATCTATGAAGCATAATAAAGAGCAGTAAAATGAGGTATGTCTGTAGTTGTATTATATATATGTATATATATATATAACTACATATATATAAGCTAACTATATAGATAGAGATATAGATATCGGCTCAACAGTGAGAAAGAGACAGGCAGACAGACAGAGAGACACAGAGAGAGACAGAGAAAGACAGAGAGACAGAGAGAAACAGAGACAGAGACAGAGAGTCTCAGATCTTGTCCAAGGGGAAATGCCCCCAAATTTCTAATGAGGTAAGTTGGTGCCAGTTTCTATATGTGTCAGCTTCTTCCCAGAGGCTTTCTCTCCCCTCAGGTACTTGAAGAGA